AAAAAAAAAAAACAACAACAACAACAAACGAGTCTTAGGGACTTTCCTGCCTGGGCTGGCTCTGAACCATGATCCTCAGATCTCAGCCTCCTGAATAACTAGGATTATAGGCGTGAGTCATGGGCGCCTGTCCTCTTTTTGCATTTTTACCAGCATTAATTGTGCCATTTTATTGATGGGTTTAAGAAATTGGTTTGGTTTTAGAAATTATTTGAATTGGTAAACGGGTAGCAGTTCTGTTTTTTCTTTTTCTTTTTTTTTTTTTTTTTGCAGGAAGGAGTGATTTGTGTATGGACTGAACTTTGAGATCACTCGTTGCTTTTCTGAAAAGAAAATGATAATTATAGTATAACATTGGCTTAGAGTTCTGGGACTTTTTTGGTTTTTGTTGTTTTTAATTTTCTTATTTTTTTTCCTGGTTCTGGGGCTTGAACTACCACTTCAGCCACAGCACCACTCCCAGCTTTTTCTAAATAGGTATTTGGAGACAAGAGTTTCATGGACTTGCCTGCCTGGGCTGGCTTCGAACCACGATCCTCAGATCTCAGTCTCCTGAGTAGCTAGGATTACAGGCATGAGCCACCAGCACCCTGCTGACCTTCGGTTTTTTTGAGTAGAGCCCTGACTTCAACTCTTGGTTCAATAGGATTCCCACGTTAAGTTCAGTAAAATTATTTGTGAAGGCATTTCTGCAGACTGTAAAGTAAAAGCTAAAATATTATGAAAGCAGTTTAATTTAACTTTTTTTTTTTTTTTGTCGGTCGTGGGACTTGAACTCTTGGCCTGGGCGCTGTCCCTCAGCTCTTCAGCTCAAGGCGAGTGCTCTACCACTTGAGCTACAGTGCCACTTCCATGAAAGCAGTTTAAAAAAAATTTTTAAATAAAAATTATCATGAGCTACCCATTTCACAGATGCTTCATATATACGTAAATAACATGGGAAAAATTTGCCTTTGAGTCACTATGGTGAAGATTCCCCTTAGAGGAGAAAAAAGAGAGATCTGTCATGGAAGGTGTATGAGAGTAATAGAGCCCTATTCAGTTGATCTGTGACCACTCAAGGGAGATACTATGAAGCCAGAAGTCTTACCCAGAGGTTGACTTACTCTTTCCACCATCTTTATGCATTAGTGATCTGGAGAAGGATGGCCACACTGCTCTTGACACATATACAGTCAGCCCTATGGAGAAGATTAAGCAGTTCCAGGCTGGCCAGACTGTGACTTGCTTCCTAAAGAAGGTGAGTAGTTGCCTGCCAGCAATACAGATCATCCTTGAGAAGAAGTGGGGCAGAAGCTGGAGACCAAAGCTGTTAGCACTTGGCCTTTGATTCTGTATGCTTCCATAGTGGGCTTATGGGCAGTGACACGTGGCCTCTGCTTCTAGAAAGCTTGTCTCATCAGGGAGCTAAGTTGAAGCTTTCAAAATAGCAAACAGCTCATAATTCAACATGTTTACAAATTAATGGTACGATAGGGCATACATAAAATGTAGCTGTGCTGCAGAGCAGTCTGTAATTGAGTGCCAGCCAGGTTATGGATTCTGAACCTGAAGTGGAACAAGCATTCCAGAAGAAAGTGATTAAGTGTAACTTGTGCATATTACATAATTGGTGCATATCAGAAAAGAAGCTAGACTGGCCTTGACCTTGAGGAATAACCTTTCTTCATTGTTACAAAATTGCTTTTCCACAAACATCTCTGAGCATGTTTTTGATGCTTGATCCCTTTAGTCACATACTGCCTGTAGACATTGATCCTCTCCAGATGCGTTAAAGTAGCATTTAGGGTTCTTCATGATCAGACTTTACAGCTTTATATACCAATCACGCTGGAACCTGTCTTTTCTCTTTTTTTTTTTTTGGGTCCGGTTGTGGGGCCTCAACTCTGGCCTGGGCGCTGTCCCTCAGCTCTTCAGCTCAAGGCTAGCACTCTACCACTTGAGCCACAGCACCACTTCCAGCTTTTTTCTTTTTGCTTATGTGGTACTGAGGAATCAAACCCAGGGCCTCATGCATG